TTTTTTTGGTGGGGTTCGTGTTGCTCAGTATTTAGTTTAATTTGTTGTGTTTTGTGTATTGTTTGTCTTTTCGTCGTTTTTCGTTTTTTGCCATGGCATTGTCAGTTTGTTTTCGACTTATGAGTTTGAATATATCCCTTTTGTATCTTTCGCCTCAATTTTAAGGGCAATAACTCATACAAGAAGTCGTTTGACAGTTTTGATGTGAACGACTGAAGGTAGATCTTATCATTTTGCACATTTTTTCCCACGTAAGAGTTCCTTCCCCATTGCTTTATTTTTACCATGTCTGCCATGTTGGTTGGCAGGTGCGGTCATCGGACACATTTTCAGAACTCTTTTTAAAAGTTAATGGACGACAGACGACGACGACGACAGACGAATAATGCCAAATGATGACAAAAGCTCACACTGAGGCTTTGGACCAGGTGAGCTAATAAAAGAACAATAAATCCTATACTGTTTTTTGTAGGTTTTGACAACAACAGTTCACATAACGTCATTGAAACACTCAGCAAGTCCCATGAAGGATATTTTAAACGGTAGACTTTTAACTGTGTGTTTATATTTCTGCTTGATTTTATTTCAAATACATAATTCTATGCATAACTGAAATTTTTATTTTTTTTTTTTAATTCTGTGTTATAAATATTCTTTTTATTACATTGGGCATGGACCTTTTTACCCTCTTCATGCCAAGGCGACATGTCGTTTGGTGGTTTAATGCCAAGGCAAACTTACTCTTGTAAAGTATAAGCGGTTACTATAGTAAAAGTAGGATTATATAAATTATACAAAGTAAGGATGGGAGGGGAAAATATTGGTTGTTATATTGGTGAGTTTTGGAAGCTTCTATGGGCCATTCGATATCCTCGGAAACAAGATTCTCGGAACGTCTCGAAAAGTTTCGATCATTTATACAGGTAGTTGTTTAGGTCTTTGATACGGTCCTCTATGGATAGGCTACCACGTGACATTGTATAGTTCAACAATCAATGTTCATCTATAGATCGCAATATTAAAATAAAAATAAAGACTGATTGCAGTAAAAATTCATTTAGATATTGACACCTATTTGCATTTTGGCAGAACATTTGCGTTTCTAATAATGCGAAATAATCAGAATGTTTATTAAATATCAAGTATAATGATAACGCAATTATATAATTCATGCTTTGAGGCGGCCCCTGTGCGCGTTGTGTGTGTAGTATTTAATACAACGTGCTATTGTGTATTGAGCATTGTGACAATAAACCTGGGAATAGTATACTTATATATTATGTCTCAGAATAATCTGATTATTTCTAAACGTTTACCACGTGACCTTATGTAAAAGTAATCTAGAAGAAAATTAACAAAACGATATTTCTGTTATAAATATTTATCTTAGGTCGGAAAGCATAATTATAATTAAACAAAACGATATTTCTGTCAAAATATTTAATTTCATTAAGATACACTAACAGACCAAGAAAATTTTCATTAACACATTATTAAGTTTAAACTGAGACTTAATTTGTCATTAATAGAATATAATGTATAATGTTATATCATGTCCGACATGTCTGAACAGTGAATACATTTATGAAAATTTTATGCAACATATGAGCACCAATTATCAGGGATGCGAACACATAAGTTAGTTAAATTTTAACTGTAGTGAATGAAAAAAATACTTCACAACGATTTTAAATCCTTGCATCTCACAAAAAAACGTATTTAATATTTTACAATAATCATTTAAATACTACGTAAATTATTTAATTCCGTTTTAGTATGGTATTATAAGTATCTGCTTACATTTTGTATAGCAATATATTCATATAATGGAAATATAGATTTGAAGAAGAGATTAATTTAAGAAATAAAATGTCCATTAGTAAATACTTGATGTTTATTTTTATTGATATTATATTTTCAAAATTTCGGAAATGATTCATTAACAGGAATGTATGTTGATTAAATTTCAATTCTTTTTGTTTTGTTTTTAATAGTTTGATCTTATAGCATCTTAATCTTTTCAATGTGGTGCGATTTTGAAAATTGTGTATTCATTGTGTTGACCAGCTATCATACACCCGTCTTGGTTTATTTACATTATATTACACCCTTTTGCGTTTACACAAATTTTGGATTAAATGCCCATGAATCCGGAGTCAAAACACTTGAGGTAGGTAGTTTGATATCCGAATTCAACTAGCATTAGATATGAGCCTAGAATAAATATACGAGATGATGCAAATGCGTATTATAATCCAGAGTATCAGTGCGTATGCTTTCCATTTTCTATTTCTTGCGCTGCGCAAGAAAACCACGTGCATGCATAAATATTAATTTCACTCGCGGACTGTAAATTTTCAGGACATGGCAGTAAGAGCTGGACATGTGACGTTGAATCATGGTCATCATAAGTTAAGGTATTCTGACCTCTAACTGTTTCTCTTTTCTAGTTTTCTTTTTTTGAGTAACTGTACTATTATAAACTTTGAAATGTTCGAAATACTAAAGATTTTCTTCCCAAGGAATAAATAGATTACCGTAGATGTATTTGGCAAAACCTTTGTTTTGAAATTTTGGGTCTTCAATGCTCTTCAACTTCGTACTTTATTTGGCCTTTTTAACATTTTTTATTCGAGCGTCACGAAATGCGCGTCTGGCGTACAACATTTTAATCCTGGTATCTATACAATTTTATATATCTACATAGGGTACATATCTTTTTTTATACTAATTGGTTTTTTTGAGAGCATATTCAGGTATTCATAAAACTTCTTCAGAACTAAGTTTTTTCTATAGAATATTTGGATTGATTAAAGTAACTACAGGAAATCCTTAAAATTTGAGATGTTTTAAAAGACCAAAGTAATTGTCAGTATATAAGAGGTCCCAATGAAGCTGGTGTGTTACTCTCAAAAACAAAACATGACATAAGTTGCATGCCACAGTTACACTTCACATGGAAATTGGACTTTCAATTTCTCTATATATATACACAATCTACCATGAGTACAGACGACAGCTTCAATAATGATTATAAGAATAATTAAAGCCATCAAGGAAACAAAATATGAAGATATGACAGATGAAATAAATACATCCAGATTATTTTAGCAAACTGAGTGCTAAAATTTTATAATGCGATTGGTCTATGCAATTTGCTTTAGACATTCGGTTTGCAGAAACTAAGAATTGAATAGGATTAGGACTTTGTATGTATATTAAACACGAAGAAAAACTGATGTAAAATAGTCTAGCCTTAAAAGGTAAATTCATATAGTAGCTGTATACCCTTTTCTGTTTACAACTAAAATCCAAAAGTGCTTTTAATTGACTTGTGTAAGAATCTACACACAATTACATATTTTCAATAAAGGTGTTTTAACATCATAAGTACCTTATTCTATTCAGTCAATTATTTCAAATCTAAAGCCAAAAAAAATCAGCAACATTTTTTTGGTGACCAGTCAGCTGTCTCGGGTTCACGTGTTGCTTTTCTTTTTTTTAAGAAAGCAACTTGTTTTTCATTCAACGTGTGGTTCGTTTGATATCAGGGTTGCGTTAAATATCGTAGCGGATACATAGGGCTACGTAGATTTATGACTATTGAACGTGTAGCTAGCCTAGCTGCTACATAGATATTGATAGCAGCTAGGCTAGCTACTCGTTCAATAGTCATAAATCTACGTAGCACTACGTAGCCGCTACGATATTGAACGCAACCCAGTTCTTCAATGGTCAAAATTCAATTATGACGTCTTTTCTTGCTTTTCTCTGAATTTCCTAAGTGACGTCACTAAAAAAGGCGACCATGCCTGATGACGTCACATAGAAAGAACACATCTTTTGCAGATTATTGCAAAAGAAGGATTAAGTTTGTCTACATATTGTCCAAAAATCATTAGAGATACAGATTCCACCACCAAATCTTGTGCAATACGATATTTCTCTACTCTCGACAGTTAGATTTTAAATATTTAAGGTAGTTCATAAGTATATACTTTTTGAGATAGAATTTTCTCATACTTTGCCAAAAGGAAGAGTTTACTATGCTTTTTTCAAAAATATAATAAAAAGTATGGGTCACCGTGCTATTTTCCAAGCTATGAGTCGTTGAAAATTGCCTAAATTTGGTTAGATTGTTCATGAAAAAACACATTTGTGTGCATAAAAAAAATTCTATGAGATAGAATTTTGAAATAAATTGTAAGAGGATAGGTTTCATAATATGTTTTAAGAAAATAAAAAGAAAAAATGGTGTCACCGAACTTGTTTTCTTGCTACAAGTAAAAATTAAAAATTTCCCTATCAGTCCAGTATATATTTTTTTACTAAAAGAGTTATCTCCCCTTAAATGGCTTATTTGAAAAAAATGATTCTAAAAACATAAAAATTTGATATTTGTTTAAATATTTTGAATAATACAATAAATAACCAAGTTTTCTTTATATAAATAAACAATCTAACCATTAAATTGCAAATCTGTCTCCAAATTTGCAGATTTGGGCAAATAACTAGACCAATTTTGTATTGAGATTGTACAATCTAAGATGGCGGTATACCATGAATCTATCTTAAAACGCTCGGGAAGCCTTGCGTTTTAAATTTGAAAATTTGAATGTCCAGTCGAGTGGAAAAAATGTATCACACTCCATGCAGTGGTAGAATCTATATTATTAACATCCGTATATGATATCTCCAATTCATATGATAATTATGCAGTTATGCTTGATGTGCGAAAATATTTGACGTTCCTTAGACTTTTGCAGGAACAATATTACCCGAAAGGAAAAATCTAAAGAATCAAAAAATATATAGTTAACATGCGTTTGACGGTCTGACATGACCTGAACATGAATTTGATCACTAGAACTTTGAAAGAACGTAAAAGATTTTTTTAAGTCTAACTTTATGTTGTTAAATTAACTATTACCAAGACTAAAAATATGTGTTCAATCGTAACAGCTGAGAAAAAAGTCAAAGGCTTATATTATTATACTTACAGCTTTAATCTCCCTGTCCTGAAGTGATGCATTACATGAATAACTGTCGTCATGATAAGGACATTTAAGATATGCCTCTTCATTGTGTATAATAGCTCCCTTCAGGCATTCCCTGCAATTATATATAATCTCCATGGAAATGATAATTGCAAATGCCAATACATCTGCATACCAAATATCAGTGACTTAACATTAATGGTTCTTCTTAAACTGATCTTATCACTCACCTTAACATGTAAACTATGCAAAACATTTAAAGTCAATAGACCATGACTGAGGGGGCGGGGCCAAATAATCTCCATGGAAATGAGATGTGCTAACTATTATACATCTGCATACAAAACATCATTGATTTTCACAAAATAGTTCCCCTTATACTGACCTAATCACAAACTTATACATGTAAACTAAGCAAAAGTTCAAAGCTGATAGACCAGGACTGAAGGGGCAAGAGCAAATTGTATCAATGGAAATGAGATATGCCAAAGCTTATACAACTGCATACCAAATATCATCGACCTACCACTATTGGTTCCCCTTAAACTGACCTAATCACAAACTAATATATGTAAACTAAGCAAAAGTTTCAAAGTCAATAGACCATGACTGAGGGGTCGGGGCCAAATAATTCCTATGGAAATGAGATGAGCCCAATTGAATGCTCATACAACTGCATACCACATATCATTGACCTACCACAGGTGGTTCACCATAAACTGACCTAATCACAAACTAATACATTATTGCCGCCACCACCGACGCCGGAAACAGCACGCACAAGTCTCGCTTTTTCGACTTTGTTGATGCGAGACAAAAATTGGTTAACATCGTCATTAAAGGGCACTAACTCTAATAAAAACTATTTCGGTCATCTTGACTTATTTGTAGATCTTGTCTTGCTGATCATTTTTGCTATTTAAAGTATCAAAATATTAAAATTTGTAAAGGATTGGTTTAACGGTTCATAAGTTATTGCACGGAAACTGTTGGCAGCCTCCCCCTGTCGTACGACACCAAATCGATAACTGTTTTTTTACTTCGCAAAACCCAGTTAAAAACTTGCATTTTACCCATGTTCTATTTTAAGCTATGTCGGCCATGATGGTTGACAGGCGGGGTTATCGAACACATCTTTTAAACTACATACCACAATAATGATTGTGGCCAAGTTTTGTTAAATTTGGCCAAGCAGTTTCAGAGGAGAAGATTTTTGCAAAATTTAAAAGACAACGACGACGGACGCCGAGTGACGAGGAAAGCTGACTAAGCGCTTAAAACGCCAAAAATTGGTAGAAATCAATTTAAAGTATAGTATAAATCTATCTTAAGGCAGCCACACTTTCATAATGGTCGAAAACATGTTACGAAACTGGGCATGCGCAATGCAAAGTTAAATCGAACGGTAACTCTACAGACGAGTAAACCCTTCAAAATTAAAAACTAAAAGATGACATTAAATCGATTTTTTTCCCTTCAAGATCTAATAAGAAAATTCATGCATGGTCCTTATTTCATGTTAAATTGTCGGCCGCTAATATACTAACAATCCATGGATTGAATATCATCAGAGACAGATATACTTTATAGTATTGGAACTATTTGTAAGAGGAGGTTTTGCATTGTGAACCATTTCCTCATGAACTCTAAGGGAACCAACATATGCATATGTTTTATCACAATAATGACACTTCACTCTCCCATCACCTTCATGTATATTGGAAAGGTAATAGTTCTCAGGATGAGTGTCATCTGTCAATATTTCCCTCAACTCTTTCATTATGTCATTCTCAGACTCAAAGAAATTTTTCTCCAAAATGTCCTTGCATATATTATTTAGCCAGTCGATTTTTTCATCTGATGAGGAGTATACAAAACTATCTGGTAATGGTATTTGGTCATCAAAACCTTTGTCAAATTTTTGAAGAAATAAAGCACAACTCATAGCATCCAAAATTGTATAGTATAAGAGTCTGAATGGCCGGTATGCATTATGGACTTCACCCTTCACATTCCTGGCATTTAGGAGATTCCTGAAATAGTGTGCAGTCCCTCTGTCTCCAGCTGAGTCTTTGTTGTATGTCAGCCTGCAGATTGCCTACAAATATACTTATTCATTATGTAGTGTCACTGATTATTTATTTAATGATTTTTAATGAGATCACTAATTTGAACAAGCATTCTGTGAGTATTGCCTGGCAATACATAGTCCCCTACCGGTTAAAAATTCATTGTACTGGAACAAAATGCTAACTTGATCTATAACTTGTCATGGTGTAAACTTTATACCAAATATCAAGTCAATATCTTCAAGCATGACGAAAAAAAATGTGGAAAATTGATTATTTGAGATTTTCGAAGTCCAAGGACCATAACCCTGCACAAAATCATCAGACCGGAACAAAATTCGAACTTGATCTGTAACTTGTCATGATAAAACTATATACCAATTATCAAATCAACATCTTCAAGCATGACGAAATAAAAGTGAAGAAAACTGATTATTTGAGATTTTCTGTCCAAGGACCATAACTCTGCACAAAATCATTAGACCGGAACAAAATTCGAACTTGATCTGTAACTTGTCATGCTAAAACTATATACCAATCATGAAATCAATATCTTCAAGCATGACAAAAATACGTGCGGACAACTGATTATTTCAGTGAATTTTCTAAGTTCAAGGACCATAACTCAGTACAAAATCGTCAGACTGGAACAAAATTGCAATCCTAAATTCCCCGGTAGGGGACTAATAAAAAGCTTTGAAGAGCCAAAATACGACCGAAACATGTCGACACACGATTTTGCCCTGAATTGATAAACAAATTCCCCCTTTTTGGCACCTATTTCGGTAACAACCAAGCCAAACTATCCCAAATCAATACCAAACTTCTTTTTGTGCCAACAAACATAATATCAAAATTTCAAAATGATTGTTCAATAAAACTCAAGTTAGAACACGACAATGAAGCGTCCACAGACGAATGACAGGGTGATACCATTACACAAGCTAAAATTCTTTTTGGTCATATTAAAAGCAATATCACAAGATATAATGTCAAATGAAATCTGTTATTTGAGCACTTACCGGTAAGCAATATTGTTTAGTTATACTGCTTAATTAATCTAATGATATCAATAATTTCAAAAATTCTTACAGGAGATAATATTTGTTAATTTTTTAAGTAATTTTCCCCCAAAATATCATAGTTTTAAGGTGACTCCTTTTATCTGGTATATATCTGTTCTATTTTTAAGTTATGGTGCATTGTTGATGATTCGCAAAATTTGGTCACAATCCACAGTATAGTTATTGACAAATGGATGACGGAAACAAAGCAGCTGCAACAGATCACTTGAACCTTTGGTCCAGGTGAACTAATAGTACTGTTTTTGGCTATAAATTGCCAAAGTATTTGAAGTTTTTCACATTTAATAACTCTGAGCTATGCTTCCAGAAACATTGTTGTTATTACATTGCTTAATTCAAATTACCTCTAAAAAATTCATGAGTCAATGAAAATCTTCTATTTTTGAAATAAAGCCTTCAAGTCGTGATGTTTGCGTTTCTTCATTCAAAATAGATTGTTGTGCACATTGGAGCCGCTCATCTGTCAACCTATCTCCTGTAAAGTAGGAAATTATTTATAAGGATGGTATAAATTACAATGTTCAAAGCTATTCACCTGTACACATATCTAATTTAGGTTATATATTTAATGGTTTGTTTATTACATGTGTACTAAAAGTTTAAAGTGTTGACCTACTGAGTACTCCCAAATATATATCTGAATGCAATGACCATAAGTAGTGGAGACAAGAGTGCACACGCTGAAATGTCTCGCCTGTTTTAATGACCATTGATTTTATGTTGAAAGTCTTAAAGATAAAGGTTTTACTACAAGTATCACATAAACTTAACATTTTTTAAAGATCCATGACAAAGAGGTCAAGGTCAGATAAAAACTGTCACACAGACATGTACACCTTACATTTATTCCATACACCAAATAAAGTTGACCCATTGCTTATGGTAATTGAAAAACAGACCAAAACACAAAAACTTAATGTTAACCAATGAACCATGGAAATGAGGTCAAGGTCAGATGATACTGGCTAGACAGACATGTACACCTTACAATCATTCCATACACCAATTATAGTTGACCTATTGCTATTAGTATTTGAAAAAAAGACCAAAACACAAAAACTTTACATTGACCAATGAACCATGAAAAATGAGGTCAAGGTCAGATGACACCAGCTAGACATATACACCTTACAATCGTTCCATACACCAAACATAGTTGACCTACTGCTTACAGTACTTGAATAAACTGTTAACACAGAGATATGTCTCGCCTTTTTGTAATTTTGATAATGCAAATGTTGAAATTAAAATAGCAATACTTTAACATGTAAGTTATGCAAATATTCAAAGTCAATGAACAATGACTGAAGGTATATGGCTAAAAAATCTCCATGGAAATGAGATATGCCAATGCTAATACAACTGCATTCCAAATACCATTGACTTATCATAAGTCGTTCCCTTTAAACAAACCTAAACACAAACATTAACTTGTTAACTATGTAAAAGTTTCAAAGTCAGTGAACCATGATGAGGGGGTGGAGCTATATAATGTCCATGGAAACGAGACTTGAAAATGCTAATAAATTTGCATACTAAATATCATTGACTTAACATTAGGGGTTAATCTTAAACTGATCTAATCACAAACTAATACATGTAAACTAAGCAAAAATTTCAAAGTCGATAGACCATGACTGAGAGGTGGGGCCAAATATTCTCCATGGAAATGAGATGAGCTAATGCTTATACAACTGCATACCAATTAACATTGGCCTACCACTAATGGTTCCCCTTGAACTGACCTAATCACAAATTAATACATGTAAACTAAGCAAAAGTTTCAAAGTCAATAGATCATGACTGAGGTGGCGGAGCCAAATAATCTCCATGGAAATGAGATATGCCAATGCTTATAAAACTGCATACCAAATATCATTGACCTACCACTAGTGGTTCCCCATAAACTGATCTAATCACAAACTAATACATGTAAACTAAGCAAAAGTTTCGAAGTCAAT